CCAGCACCACGGACCCTGCGGGAAGAACTGTTCATAAGGAAGCTCCGTAGTTCTCACTTCCCCTTCCCCCTCCTTCCTGTTCCTTCTACAAACACCCCTCCAGCTGGGCAGGGGCCAACCTGCGCTGGGCTGCCCCCCTTCACCCCCCCCCCCAATAAATCCTCTTGGGGTCGAAACACCTAGCGGATAGTTCCCTGGCCGCAGGGACAGAGGGGACCGCTGATGGCCGGAGCCGGGGTCGCGGCCTCACCAGGCCGCTGCCACAGTGGCCGCCAGCAGGGGTGCTGGGCCGAGACGGGGGCGCTCCTGGCTCCCTCCCGTGCGGTGGGTGGCGCCCAGGAGCCTCACAGGGACTCCCAGGCCCCGGGGAGCTCTCTGGTTGGTGCAGGGAGAGGACGCAGATGGAAGCCGCCTGCGGTGGGGTCATACCTGTCCTGCGAGGCTCCCCCTTTTCTGTCCTCACAACCCGCATCACAAGCAGCTGCTCCTCTCCGACTGCCGCCGAGCGGCTTCAGGACAAACACAAAGCGTCATGGGGCCGACGGCCCGTTCCTGCCCGAGGCCCGGGCTCAGCTGGGCCAGGCCTGGCACGCTCTCCACTCGAACCCGCGTGGCGCCAGGAGGGGCGGATGGAGGGCGTCGGGGCCTGCCCACGGTGACCGCGTGCTATCGGGTGCAGCCCAGCCCTGCCGGGGCTGGGAAGGGCGCCCCAGAGCTGCGCCGCTGACAGGAGCGTCCTGGTCGCCCAGCTGGAGGCCCACCCAGGCTGCTGGGTCCGGCTCCCAGGACTGGGAGCCACAGAACTGAGCGGCCATGGCCCACGCTTTGTTTTGACTTTTAAATTAGTTGCCAAGATTAGAAAAGGGAAGCATTCTCCACACAAAACGCCAAGATCTCCAGCTCTTCTTTCCGGGCCTCAAACAACAGGCCTGGCTGTCTCCGTCGGAGGCCGGAGCTTTGACACCGAGTCGTCGGCAGGAGGCTCCTGCTCCCGGGCTCCTCGGCTTGTCGTCCCCTCACCAGCTCTGCCTTCACGTGGACACGGAGTCCCCCCTGCGTGTCTGTGCCCAGCCTTCTTCTTTGTAAGGACACACCACGCTCACTTGTCCTCGTCCTGACCAACTGCATCTCAGCGGCCCTGTTTCTAAGGTGGTGGCGCCCCAAGGTCCTGGGGGTTAGCGTTTTGCATGAATTTTGGGGAAAGAATTCAACCCGGCGCCGTTGGTTCCCGTAAGAGGGGCAGTATTGGGTCCACCTGAGTCAGTGTCAAAGCTCGTGGGAGAGCAGCGATGGCCGCGGGTTTCTCGGGCCTCTGCGCAGAGCGGAGCTTGGAGGTCAAGGTGCTCCCTCCTCGCGGACTGACGGGCCGCCTCTGTCTCTCGCTGTCCCTCCTCGCGGACGGGCCGCCTCTGTCTCTCACTGTCCCTCCTCGCGGACTGACGGGCCGCCTCTGTCTCTCGCTGTCCCTCCTCGCGGACTGACGGGCCGCCTCTGTCTCTCACTGTCCCTCCTCGCGGACTGACGGGCCGCCTCTGTCTCTCGCTGTCCCTCCTCGCGGACTGACGGGCCGCCTCTGTCTCTCGCTGTCCCTCCTCGCGGACGGGCCGCCTCTGTCTCTCACTGTCCCTCCTCGCGGACTGACGGGCCGCCTCTGTCTCTCGCTGTCCCTCCTCGCGGACTGACGGGCCGCCTCTGTCTCTCGCTGTCCCTCCTCGCGGACTGACGGGCCGCCTCTGTCTCTTGCTGTCCCTCCTCGCGGACTGACGGGCCGCCTCTGTCTCTTGCTGTCCCTCCTCGCGGACTGACGGGCCGCCTCTGTCTCTTGCTGTCCCTCCTCGCGGACTGACGGGCCGCCTCTGTCTCTCGCTGTCCCTCCTCGCGGACTGACGGGCCGCCTCTGTCTCTCGCTGTCCCTCCTCGCGGACGGGCCGCCTCTGTCTCTTGCTGTCCCTCCTCGCGGACTGACGGGCCGCCTCTGTCTCTCGCTGTCCCTCCTCGCGGACGGGCCGCCTCTGTCTCTCACTGTCCCTCCTCGCGGACGGGCCGCCTCTCTGTCACGTGCTGTCCGTCCTGAGCTTGGGCCCTCTAGCAGGACGCACTCCTCCACCGTCCCACCTTTAACACAGTTGAAATCCTTCCTTATAGCTCCATCCAGCTGATGCTGTTTCTTTGCTTTGGGCTCAGAGAGAAAACGGAGTGTCTTTCCCTCTGGCCTTCGTAACCGCAGCGAACACTGAGCTGTTTACTTACCTTTTTGTTTGTTTGCTAGTCCTCACGTGGGGAAGGGAGGGGGAGAGACAGAGAGAGCAGCATCGATGTGAGAGAGACATCGATCGACTGCCTCCCGCACACACCCCTACCAGCGCCAGGGATCAAGCCTACAACCGAGGTGCGTGCCCTGGACCGGAATGGAACCGGGACCCTTCAGGCCACAGACCGCTGCTCTATCCACTGAGCCACACGGCCAGGGCCTTGCTACTTATTGACACCCGTTCTACAGGAAGGGACTGAGGCAGAGGGGCTGCAGCCGGCTCAGGGCCCAGCTGGAGAGGAGCAGAGTGACAGCCAGAGCTCCTGCTCCTGCCCCATCACCAGGCACCACGGCTGGGCTGGCTGTTGCAGGAGCTGTTCACGTGGCCGTGGGCTGATGATCCACGGGACCCCTCTGCACACTCAGACCCAGGGACAGGTGCCTCCCTCCCGAGGGCGCCTCTCCCAGGCGCTGGGCCTGGGGCTCCTCCGTGAGGGCAGAAGGAGGCCGTCTCCACGCGAGTGACGAGAAACTTGGGAAGAGGGACTGAGGGAGCAGGAGGTGGGAGGAGCGGGGAGCCCAGGAGGGAGCCCAGGAGAGAGCAGGCCCAGGAGCTGAGGGGGGGCGGGCCTCCTGGCAGAGCCAGCGCCTGGCAGAGACCAACAAGCTCGTCATGAACAGCCATGGCCGTTCAGCTCAGTGGGAAAGTTCCCAGTGCATCAAGCAGAACTGAGTCCGTTCTGACCTGTGGGTTTGGCAAAGATTTAAAGATCCGTGACAGGCAGCGCGGGCGAGGGAGTGCGGGAGCTCCGGGCGGGCGGGTGGCAGGTCCCAGGCCCGTCAGTGCAGCACAGGTCCGGCTGGGCGGGTCAGAGGCCCTGCGGGCGAGGGGTGCCGGCGGGCAGGCGCTGGCAGGAGGAGCTCCTGGGGTCTGCTCCCAGAACTGGACGCATGACCTTGGACGGTCCCCCAGCCCGGACAACGGGACGTTGTGAGAGTGGAGGGCTGTGGGGACTCAGGAGCGAGGCCAACAGAAAGGCCAGGCACACGGCCAGCCCCTCACCCACTCTGGGCCCCGCATCCTGGAGGCAGGTGCACCGCACACCCCGGGGCTCCTCCAGCCAACGGTGTGGCCGCCCTGGGCCCTGGTGGCCCTGCAGGAAGAGGCCCAGCTCTCACAGAGCGGGAAGAACTGGCTTGTTGGACCCGCCCTGCCACAGGGACAACATGGGGTGGTGTCGTCGACTAAGCCGTGGGCCGAGGCCGCGGCCCGGCAGTCAGCTCAGCCAGATGCCGCCTGAGGCCCACGGGCCGGGTGCTGGGCCTGCCCTGCCTGGTGGACTCGGGGCCTGGGGGCTGCGTGACCCCGGGACTGCCAGGACTGCCGGGAAAGGGGCCGGGTGGGGCAGAGGGCGCAGAGGCGTGGGCTCCAGGACACAGCTGTGGCAAGAGGCTTCTGTTTTGCTTTTTATCTGGGTCCTCAGATAACAGCTGCCCACAGGGCCTGGCCGCGCTGTCACCCTGCGCAGCCCGCACCTCCACATCTGACGCAACCCTTTCTAAAGGAAACGCATGTCATTCCAGGAGAAACTAGTGGAATTTGCAAAAAGACAAAGTTTAACGAAAGAAACCCCCCACGAGCACTGCGCCCTCGGAAAGCTGCCCCTTTCGCTCTTCCCCGTCGGCCGGGGCGGAGCAGGTGCTCGTGGGAGAAGCAGGGACTCGGGACTCTGGCTGCGTGCTCCTTGCCAGGCGGTCCCTCAGGCCGGGGCCTCGGTGTCCCCACTGGGAGACGGGAGCTGCCACGGGATCAAGTCCCCGCCGGTGACCAGCCACGCCTGGCACTCAGCCGGCACGGGCGGCGAGCTGTCCTCCCTCCTTACCCCCCAGAGGGCATTCACTTGTACAAAGGGGTGTCCAGTCTCCCTCCGGCCCCCCCAGAGCCTGGGCTGCCGCCGCCTCCTGGACACTTCCCTCCTGGTGTCCTGACTTTCAAACTCACAGCGAGCGGGCACTGTCTCCTGTCGCCAGCTTCACAGTCGCCTTGAAAACGGCACAAAACCTGAGCCCCACACAAAGCCCACATGATCTCAACACTGACAAGGCCCGTAAGGAGACACCGCTCTCACTATCAGACCGGCAACAAGGAGAGGGCACAGGAGGGCGGGCTCAGGGGACTCCCAGCCCCACCCCTCTGCTCTGACCCACCGGCCGCCACCCCTCTGCCCAGGCACAGCCTCCAGTGCTCGGGGCAGGGCTGCCTGAGGAGCAGGTGCCAGAGGTCAGAGCGGTGGGGCGGCTGCTGGAAACCCTGAGTCCTGGGCTCTGGGAGACTAAAAACGCACTTTTCAACCGAGCGGGCAAGCGGGGCGGGGGACTGGGAGGGCAGGGAGGGCTGACTCGCTGTTCACCCCCCATTCCCACTGATCCCAGGCCCCGAGGCGGGGCTCCCTCTGCCCCGTGGCTGCCAGGCACCGTCCCAGGTGCATCTGACCTGCTCAGACGGCCTGGCTTATGTTGCTTAAGAATATCTTTCCAGTTTGACATCTCTGAGGTTAGAAAAGAACTGTCTTGGAAGTCTGTGATTTTTAAATCACCCCTCGGGTTGACCCTGTGATTGTAAACACTGGGTCCAGCCTGGCCTGGGCGAGGGCGAGGGCGGGACGTGGACCCTGCCTGCGGCTTCAGAGGGAGAACCACCTCACTGGCCTCCAGGCTGGGGAAGGCAGAGGGGGCCGAGGGGGTCTGGGAGGGGCTGAGGGGGACGAAGGGGCTGAGGGGGTCTGGGAGGGGCTGAGGGGGGCTGAGGGGGGCTGAGGGGTCCTCTGCCCGCGGCCAGGCCTCGGCCTCGCCATCGCCTTCCCTCATGCTGTTACTCTAGAACTTGAAAGTCCACTTTTTTAGCTTCAAAACAGTCTCTGTCCACCCACCGCTAGGCTCACACGCGGCCACGCGAGGTGGAGAACCAGGTGCCCTTACAGCACTTACACTTCCAGCCGGAGCGCTTCTCTACCCCACACTCTGCCTGAGCCGGGGCACCCCTTCCAGGGCCCCTGCACTACCCCCAGCACCTGCTGGGGACCTGCCGGTGCCAGCCAGGGGTCATGGGTCAAGGACAACACCCCCCCCACCCAGCAAACAACAGAATCCAAATAAATGAGGCAGAGTAAGGTGCGGGCTGGTGCCCGGGAAGGAAGCGGGAGGTGAGGGGGTGTCTGAGGTGCGGGCAGGAGCGGGCCAGGGTGGGGAATACAGCAGCATCTGGCCAGACGGGCACAGGGGCAGCCTGGGCGCTGGGAGGGTGGTGGGCGCTGGG